TATATATATATATATATATATATATATATATATATATATATATATATATATATATATATATATATATATATAATAATGTTTGCCCTGTACAAGGCCCCAGAGACACATCTGAGGTAGAGAATGAAAGGCAAAGTTTATTAAGATGTGTAGGGAAGATAACAGTTAACCCTAGACTCAAACAGGTTAAGACAGTAGTAATCAGGAAGACATTCCCTTGGGAGTCGGTTCCACAAATTAACAGTTTGTTGGAAGAAGCTGCTCAAGTAGAACTTACATAATTCGCTAGAATGTGCTTGGCATGGCAGGTTTTAGCTTTGAATCTTAGAACTGGTGGAAGTAAGAAATGTATTTTGGCTGAACACTCTCCATGAAAATATCAATAGAGTAGCAAGAAGCTTGCAAAAGTTCGTCTGTGGAGAAAAGGGTTGTAGGGTGGAAAATAATTCATTACCCATCAAGCTGTATAAATGTTTTGGGGGATTTTGGACTCTATAAAGACTGGAATGTGAGGACTGAGCAGTTACTGCCCATTTATGGTAGTAGTATTACTTCCTGGCTCTTGTATTGTTACCCAAGAAAAAAAATGTAAGATGAAATTGTAGCAGTCAGTAAATTTTATTCAGTTGTAACATTCTCATAAAGGCCAGCTGTAGGCAAGCAATAAAAATGAAGCAAGATGAGGGGTAGCGAATGGTCTAACCAGCTTATTCTTTCTTTCGCATGGCAGGCAAGCAGTCCTCTGTGTTTTTGGCTGCTAGGGATCACTGTCTTATAGAGAACAAGAAAATTTCCAGCACCTAATAATAAGGGTAATGTTAGCTGTTTCCCTGCAAAGAAATATCTGGCACTCATTGACGAAACAGCCAGTACTGTTTTCAATGGAAATTACTGCTAAACTGGATAACCTTTCACCTCACACTGTAAATCACAAATAATTTTTTATAAGTTTTGATTTAAATTTCTTTTGGCACTTGCAACAGTCATTGGGGAAGTAAGCAGAACACAAGTTCAGGAGCTTTTCTACTGATGCTGTCATCTCCTCTTTCTCTTTTCATTTCTATGATCCACTTTTCTATAGTCCCATTCCTGTGATATGCCATTGAAAATTTAATAGTAATTTGTATTAGTTCTAAAGTTTAATATTAAAGTTTTTTGGATATAATTATTATTTCATTTAAATTTAAAACCTAGGTAGAAAAATAAATGTTGACAAGCATCCTAAAAAGAACAAACAAACTTTTATATGCTGAAGTGATGTCAAAGTTTTTAAAACAAAGGCTCTATGGAAGAATGTTCCTTCAGTTTGTCAGTGAAATCTGAGAGAAGTCTCCTCAAAAACTATGAAATGAAAATGTGACAATTCCAAAATATCTAAGAATCTTTTCTTTTTTCTTTTTTTTTTTAATTACTCTATGATTTTATGATATATCTCTCCACCTACTATTTATATCTTTATCTTTTCTTTCACTATTAGCTCATTTCTTTTTCTCACTTCTATGTAAAAAAAACAAAAAGAAAACAAAAAAAAAATAGAATAAACTACTGATATGAAAAATAAAAACCAAAGGACTGATGCTAAAGTCTTGAACTTCTCACATAGGTTTGAAAACTTTGGCTTTAAGCTTTTCCATTTGAACTGAAGGATCCATACAAATTACGTTTTATTTAGGTACCTCCACAAAAATTGCATTACCTAAAGGTTAAATTAATTTTTGAAAATGTGAAAGATTTCTTGAAGCTTTCATTTTAGTTTTAATTGAAAGCTCAAGGATTAAATTTACTATTTCCAGTAAGCAAAATAATCTAGTGTATTTCAAACAAAAATTATATTGACTGGAATTGATTTTCATTTTTTATTTTTTCAAGTCATCCATTTTTGAGACATTTGTAAATACAAGTTAGTTGTCAATTTTAAAAATCTTGCAAAAATAAAATATACTTTACCTAAACACTATTTGAGGAATATTAGCTGATTTAAAGTATAATTAGTTTGGTTTGAAACAAATATTATTTACTTTAAGTTTAAAATATTGCAGAAATGTATTTTTTAACTCAATGGTAGCTGTGTTTTTAAGCTGACAATAGCTGATTTGACATGTTGACAGCCTGATGACAGGTCTAATGTCATTCATCTGTAAAACATAATTTAAGAAAATGAATGCAAGCTTTTTGTATACTTTTTAAGTACTCCATAATCTTAAAAGTTTAGGAAAATATTCTCCCTAATCTAATGTCTTATTAAATTAAAGAAATGTTGACTTTAAATTTATTATAGTCATTGCTCTTATTTTCAGATAATGTTGTGTGTAGTCACCTGTACTTACAAAAATGAGCATGTTTATACACAAAAAAAAATTCAAAATTCTTTTAAAAATATTGGTGTTTGAGGATTTGTGTTAAGCTTTTCCATTTATGATTATAAATATAGTTTTCACTTAATAACAATATTATCAAAACTCCAGAAATTAATACAGAATTTTAAAAGATTTAAAACAATAAATTTTTCTAATTAAAATTAAAAAAGAATGAAAACAAGTCTTGTAAAAATTCATTATTCATCAAAAAACTTTTTTTTCTCAAGACAATAGTGTACTTAATATATCTTAATTATAAAAGCAATTAAATGCTTTTCTAATTAAATAATGTCATAGTTTAATTGCATTTTTTATTTTACAATTCAGTGCAAATTTTCAGTAAATGGTGTTTCTGTTTGATAAAAACAAATTGGTGATTTGTATGCACCAAGGAGTCTTGCTTTTAACTAATATAAATATGAATTTCCTGAAATTTTAATTTCTCAAAATTTCATAAAATTAAGTGGGAGTAACAGATGTAATATATATATATATATATATATATATATATATATATATATATAACCAAAATTTTCTAAATATAATATTTAAAAATGATTTCATTCATTTGTGAATAAGTCCTGAAAATTTCACTAAAATCCAACAATTGACTTTTTTAAAAAAAATTTCCAAAACAATGTGTTTATTTTTCCCCTCCCCACTAAATAGCTGCTAAATTTCAAAAAACACTTGGCTGGGGACCAGTATTGCAGTGATTAAGACGTCATATCTGCTGTTGATGACATTTTTGACCGACAGAATGAACGGTTGTCTTCTTTGAACAGTCAGATGTCAGGTTGCCTTGAAAGAAACAATGCAGTTATTATTAAGAAGCATTGCAATTGATGCATTCAGCATTTCATGGCCCTAGCATCACTTCTTCATAGTTAACCTATGAACTTGGACCTGTTTGACCACTTAAAAACTTTTCCATTATGAAGACATTAACAAAACATAAGCTACTAGAGCCCAGCAAAATTTGGTGAGGAGATATTTTAGAGTGGGGACACTGTACATACTTGTTACATCATTGATACTGTAGAAATGAGTCAGGTGAGGTTTTGTTAAATTCAAAACAGCAGGACCTGGAGCAAAAATTGATATGGCTGATGGTTATCAGTAAGTAAAGTTAACTTCAAAGTATAGAGCAAAAGGCTCAGACTGAGAGAAAATCGCAGAAGGAGGATAGATTACTTTTTTAGATGAAGATGACAAGATGAAGAAAATTATTATCTATAAAACTGAGCATCCTGTCACACGGAATAACGAAGCAGGCCTTGCTGAACAGACAGGGAAGACAACCACTGAACTGTGCACCTCACCCCCTCACTTACACCTCATCTCTACTTCACTAGCTTATAGTAGTAGATTACAAACAAAGAATAAAATTTTGTTTATTGCGAGAAATTGTTTTGTTTTTCATTCATGGGTAACAATCTGGCTGAAGGGTAATTTTTAAGCCACAAGTGTTTGAATGATAAAAACTGCACCCTGTAAATGAACCTGGTATCTGGTTTGAGCTACAATGCAACAATACAAGTAAACAACATTTTTTATGTGCCGTGTCCCTTCAGGACGTAGGTGATCATGGCCCTCCGCATCTTCTTGTTCTTTGTAGCTCTTAATAAGTTTTGTCTTTTTGCTATTTCTCTCAAACCCTGTTCTGCCATCCATTTGCTTGAGCTCATCAAGTATGTTATACACTGCCTTCCTCTGTCCCTCTCTCCCTCAATCTATCCCATGAGTATCAGATTTTCCAAGCTCTCATTACAAGCCCAGAAATTTCAACTGCCTCTTCCTGGTGTTAAGTATGTGTCCTTTTTGTTTCCATTCTCTCCAAAACCTCATCATTGCTCACATGTTCAGCCCATATCCTCAGTGTCTTTCTGTAGAACCACATTTCTATTGCTTCAGTTCTTTTCTTAATCTCTGAGGAGACATTAATAAAATGTTTAGCACACATATAATGGCTTTTATCCGTGATTAGAAAATTTAAAAAAAATATACACTAATTATTGTATTAAGATAAAAGAGCAAATAGGAAACATTTATCAATCTAACATGTTTTACTTTTCTTTTTATTATTTTATGTTAGATTGATTATTCTTATGATTCTGTCAGATTCTGATCCATATTTGATTCCAACTCACTAATTATTGTGTTGTATTAGAGTAAGTGTTGTTGCCAACACTGTGGTTTGAAATTAGATCACCACTGAGTAACATGGGCGGTTCCATTATTAAGTAGATCACATGATCATAAAGGAAGTGAATAAATAGGAAGTAGCGTGATGACTATACGATCACTGTTCACTCTTCTTGTCTATCCACTATTGCGATACATTCTACTCTCTACTCTATTACTATATGGATTACGGTTCTCTACTGATCATTATACTATTGGTTATTACTACTTGGGCAAGTATTACTAGTGTGAATATATTGGGAGGCGTTGCTACTACTAGTACTGGTGTTTACAATATCTCATCTACAATGAACATTTTTTGAAGGGATAACAAGCTTTTACTTGACGTTGCAAAAGGGGCAGACAAAGCCATTCAACATCACAAAATATTGTACCAGGATAAATATTACAACTTGTTTAAGAAATGTTATTATTTGATTGCATATTTTAATTTAATTTCAGGATTTAATTCAAACTCAGGAGATGTACCAAAATTTGGAAAGTGAATTACGGAATTATCAACAGAGAATGGATCAGGAAATCTGCTTGTTGAAGGTAGGAACTTTTTTTTTCCACAAACAACCACATTAACCTTGATTAGAATTAACCTACCTCAATATGATATATTTTCATGCACCCAAATATTTGATAATTTTGTACATATAAATAAATTAATTAGAAAAATAATTAATAAATAATTACTGTATATGCTCACATATCATACAACCTTTGAAGCTAATTGAGTAAATGAATATATAGCCAGGGCCAGCAGTACATAGAAAATTTTATATCTTGTATATGATGCAAAACCCTTAAAATTAGCTTCAAAATTAAATCTTCAAAAGTTGCATGATATGCAAATATATATGGTATACTTAACCTTTAGCACTATGCATTATTAATATTACGTCCCTTGCTAATGCATTCTTTTTCAAGACCAATCTGTTGCAGTATCCTTATTGTTAATTTCACTCAAAGTTGTTTTCTGTTGCCACAGAAGGATATGACAATACAACTATGAAATTCAAACATGCTATTGTTCAGGGATGAGTCAGCTTCACTAGTAGGTTAAACTTTTTGTACACAAATGAAGTCACAGCAAAAAATTAACCAGTAATTTGTAGTTTTGTAAAATTCCCATGCATAGGCTTTTTTTTTTTTTTTTATTTATTTATTTATTGAGGCAGGACTGCAATTAATCTTGCACAAAGCAAGTTGGGTTCTGTCTGACAAAGGATTTGCCAGAATGATCTGAGGCAAGATTTAACAAGGTTGGATGCTCTTCCTTTTGAACCAATCAGTTATGGTAGGTAAAGTACATAAAGTGTTTTTATTGAAATACCATCTCAAGGAAGATTGCCATTTAAAGCTTGGGACTATATATATATATATATATATATATATATATATATATATATATATATATATATCATTTTTAATAACCAGTTAGTTAAGAAATACAGAGTATTGAGGAATGAAACCTTTTTGAAACCTTTTGTGTAGCAATTTTAAAATGTTTTTTATTATAATCTTTATAATAAAAATATAATAATATATATATATATATATATATATATATATATATATATATATATATATATATAAGAGATTATAGTTGTTCCAATGAAGGAAAAATGTGTATATTTTAAAGAGAAGAGAGAAGCCACAAATGTTTTTGGTTTTAATGTGGATTTTTTAAATATATATTATACTTTATTTTCCATATTTTTTCTATATGTGTTTCGGGTCTTTTGATTTTCATCAGGCAAACAGTGGTTATTTCCACATATTATTTAAAGAAATTAATTTTTAATTATGCTTTCCGATGTTTAACCATTGTCTTTGTGTGTAGTATTTATCCAAATTTTCTTGGACTTGTGGAGAAAATATTCTTCTGCTTAAGTGGTAATATATAAAAAATTTTTAAAAATCAAACTTTTGACAACAAAAAAAAACAATATTAAAAAAACATGCTAAATTAATGAAAAACTGCTCAATACAATTTCAAAAACAAAAATGTAGATCAAAGTAAGAAATAAAATACTTACAAAACCAACCTTCCTGTAACCGAGGTTTATACCAATTAGGTATCGTCCGGCATTAAAATTTTACTTGAAAAAAATTGACCTGCAACTAACACATGCAAACAAGATACTTGGAAAAACTGATAATAAAAAACTATGCAGGAAAATATAAAGCATACACAGAGACATAACACTCTCAACAAAAAATAAAAATGTCTTATTAAAATTCTGTTTGTTCCTCTCGTAGTTAACACGACCGTTACGCCTTGCCAATACCCCATAGATAATTGAACTATTCCATTTTGGTTGAGTGGAGAGATGGAAAAGATATGTCAGAGACACTACTCAGTTTCAGTGAGAAAATGAAATAAAGAAAGAAAGGAAGATAGAAATGTTTAATGTCTGTTTCACTCAAATGGAAAAAGTTGTCAATTTCAAATCCTTTTATTTGTACCCCCTTACTTCTTTAAATAATGACCGGCAGACATATTTAGGATTGTTATTGCAATATTTGGTTAAATTTGTTAAGCTCAAATATTTAATGATATGATAGGGGAATTTCTATGCATATTTTCTTGTTGTAGAACATCATTAATTAAAGAATTAAAATTCATCAGAAAGAAAATTTGATAAAGAAAGAAGAAAAATGTTCTGAACTTATTAGTCTTTAATCAAACATACATACATATATATATATATATATATATATATATATATATATATATATATATATATATATTTGAGTTGACCTTTTTTTTTCCTGTTGTAGTATATGTCCACTTATTTTTTTTTTTTTTTTACATCATGGTTAGGCTTATGTGTATGTTTACACATAAACTTTAAACCTCTATTGGCAACAAACCATTTGCATAAAGGTAAAAAATGAAAAATAGAAAGGGGCATAAGGCAAGGATGTGTCTTCTCACCAGACCCATTCAACCTATACAGCAAGGCAATTCTGAGAGATCTGGAAAGCCTACCAGGATTCATCATTGCTGGATATAACCTTAACATAAGATACACAGATAACATTTCTGATAGCAGAAACTACAAAACCTATAGAAGGTAGTGAAGGAGAGCAAGAAGAAGGGACTAAGCATAATCTATGAGGTGCCAGTTTTTTGTTTTTGCCCATTCTCTGGCTTGGAATGGGACTTTGTTGCTAGAGGCAATTTGAGGTACATGCCATGGAAGCATTTCATAGAAAGTGGGTGCTTGTTCTTATTACCAACCCAGCTATAACAACCTTTCAAATATATATAATGTACGTATATAAACATTTAATACATTGTGTTTTAGAAGCTCAAAAAAATTAACGTTTTTTTTTTTTTTAATATATAAAGTCAGTCAGTTATGTACCATGCATGATACATGCTTAGGCGATCATGTATCTTTCAATACATGACTGACGAGGCAGATTTTTTTTCCAGCAGTAGGTTGCCATTTCTTTCTGCAGTAGACCAGTTGCCATCCAAGGCTATAGAACCCAGTCTGTCCTGCTATTTACCCATAACTGGGGGAAGAAGAAGAGGATTCATACCTTTCCCAAGGGTATTAGCACATAAGTGAATGTAATGGATTTGACTGGAATTCGAACTCTGCTCTCCGATTCCTCAATCCGAGCCGCTATCCATTACCCCACCGTACCTCCTTAATATATAAAACATGAGGTAACAAAAACATTAGAAAGTAAGACAAATTATGAAATAGTCATACATAAATAAACACAAATATCAAAAATTTTGTTAATTTTAGAAAGAGACAGTAGAAACAAAAAATTAAAATATAAATTGGGATTTAAGCTTTAAAATACTCAGATTATGAAGTAGAATAAAATAATTTATACAGCCTTTATCACATAACTAACACCTAAACTATCAATTGACAATAAATGAACAAGAGTAGAAAATGAAAAGTTGATAAATATAACATTAAATAAGCAAAAACAGAAAGTAAAAATAAGACAAATGATCTTCAGATTGTACAAAAAATAATAAATACAAATACGGAAAAACCTGGCAACTGTGGAAAATATTGGAAGAAATAATAATAATAAACAATACATATATAACTTTAAATATAATAATCATAATATTTATAATAAATTAAATAAAGAAATAATTGCAAATTATATTATTATTTTACCTTTTTTAAGCAATATTTACCTTTAATTACTACATATTAAAATATAAATTGGAAAAATAATGTAAAAGGCTAATAAATAAATACTACAATACATATTAAAATATCAATTGGAAAAATAAACAAAAAGCCAAATAAATAATTACTATATATTAAAATATTAATTGGAAGAATAGACAAAAAGCTTAAAAAATAATTACTACTTATTAAGAAATTAATTGGTAAAATAAAATAAGACACATTGTAAAAAAAATGTTTAATAATAAAAGCACAATAAGATATGTTGCTGTTTTTTTATGGGGAGGATTTCTTACACCCTTTTTTTACTGCTACTTTCTCAAGGCAACAGTTTTGCAAATTTGAGCCTTAAATTCCAAATGATATAGCTATTTCCTTTTGAATAGAACAACCATGCAGAAATTCTATTCCATTTTTTTTTTTTTTTAATTTTTTTTTCCTTCTTTCAGGTGCCTTTCACTTTAAGGGCTTGGTCTATCATGGCCTACTCCAATCTCCTGTCTTATGTTATTCTAATACTTGGCCCTTGACTATTCATCTTTGTTCCTGTTCTGCCAACCATTAAGTCAGACCAAAACAAGTAGGCTATTTACTTCAACCCCCACATCTGCTTCACTTGTCTTCAATTATTTCTTTTGTTGTTCTCAGTAACTTTTATCCTTTTGCCATCTCTTTTTGTACTTGTCCTGCCAAAAAACCAAGTAATCATTATTTTAAAGGAATTAAAAAAAAAAGAATAAACTTCAGATATGTCAGGTTAATCCTTGTGTTAAATACACTAAGATGAAGACATTTTGTACAATTGAAAGATTGTTTGGAATAAGAATAAATAAGTTAAGGACAAAAAATACATGAAAATCCACACTAAATTATTAATCATTAGAAAAGGATACAGGTGTGTCACCCAAATTCCAATTTTTAACATCTTATATGTATGTATGTGTGTGAGAGTGTATATATATGGGTGTGTATATATATGTGTGTATGTATATATGTATGTGTATATGTATGTGTGTGTATATATATATATATATATATATGCATGTGTATATGTATGTGTGTATATATATATATATATATATGCATGTGTATATGTATGTATGTGTGTGTGTGTGTGTGTATATATATATATATATATATATGCATGTGTATATGTATGTATGTGTGTGTATATATGTATGTATATATGTATGCATGTGTTTGTATATTGTATGTATCTGTGTATATGTATGTATGCATTTGTGTGTATATTGTATGTATCTGTGTATATGTATGTATGCACGTGTGTATATATTTATGTGTGTGTATATTGTATGTGTGTGTGTGTGTGTATATGAGGCAACAGGCTGTTTCATGCTAGACAGGCTGCAA